GAAGCGAGTGACATCAGGTTGCGGCAGACTTTAGGCGATCCCATTGGGTTTTCAAGGCAAGAGGCGAACAGAAGTGGTTTTGCCGTTGCCTGCCTCTGTGTCGTGACCGTGGGCCTCCGTGGTGGTCTCCCACCCAAGTACTAACCAGGGCTGACCTTGCTTAGCTTCCAAGATCTGACCAGATCCAACTAGCCTGGGCCACCCAGGTCAAAGGGGGAAAATCCTAAAGTGGATGTGCAAGGAGTGGGGAAGCAAGGAAGGGGCTGGGGGAGGAGAAACGATTCAGGACCTAAGAGAGAAGTCCCCAGGTTGGAAGAATGGCAGGCTCACAGTGGTATCCTAAGCAGAGGTGTCCCCGTCTAAATCTGAAGACGAGATTGGGCTTGGAAGGGTGTCATTCTGCTTTGGGTGGCACTGCTGGAGGGCACCACGGGCCAAAGAGATTTCCAGGTTGCACCACAGATGCCAGCCAAAGATTGGCTGCTCTCCCTTTCGAAAGGTAAGCGCCCGCCGTACTCCAGATCTTCCTCAAGCATGGCCTTGAGATGTGCAGGTAAGGAAGGGAGCAGAGGTCAAGCCCATCAAGGCTGTCCCTTGATTGGCAAAGAAGATCCCACCTGATGCATTAGATAAAGAGCGAAAGTCTAGTCGAGCAGCATGTTGTAATGGAGGTTATTCCCCCATAAGCACAGTCCCATTGATGGGTGGTGGTGGGATATTTTCAAGGTGTGGCGTGCCTTTTTTTCCCCCTGGACAGGCAGTCCTGTTGGTTCATGGGGCGGATGTGGTTGCCAACATCCAGGTAGAGCCTGGAGATCCCCTGGAATCACAACTGATCTCCAGACTACAGAGATCAGTTCCCCTGGATAAAATGGCTGTTTTGGAGGATGGACACTAAAGCATTATACCCAGTATATAAAGCATTAAAGCCAGTTTGGTGTCGTGGTTGAGTGTGCGGACTGTAATCTGGGAGAACCGGGTTTGATTCCCCACTCCTCCACTTGCACCTGCTGGGTGACCTTGGGTCAGTCACAAGCTCTGGCACAGCTGTCCTTGAAAAAGAGTAGTTTGTGTCAGAGTTCTCTCAGCCCCGCCCACCTTACAGGGTATCTGTTGTGGGGAGGGGAAGGGAAAGGAGTTTGTGAGCCGCTCTGAGACTCCGAGTGAAGGGCGGGGTATAAATCCAATCTCTTCTTCTTCTGAGGTCCCTCCTGCCTCCAAACCCTGCCCTCCCCCAGGCTCCACCCCCAAAGGTCCAGGAATTTCCCAACCTGGAGTTGGCAATCCTAGTGTGGCCCAATAGTCAAGAAAATGGGGTGGGTGGGAGTTTCTGCATGAGGATGCTACCGTTGCAAGCACCCTTCTCTTGCTTGATTTCTCTCAATTTAGAAAAGAGGCAATTAAGAGGGGACATGATAGAGCTTTATAAAATTATGCACCGGGTGTCCTGGCCCAGTGTTCCCTCTAAGCTGAGTTAGTGTGAGCCAGCTCACAGTTCTTTAACCTCCAGCTCACACCTTTTTTCCTTAGCTCAGGAAGGATGGCTCCAGAGCAAACTAATCTATGCAGCAGCCAAATCACTCACTCACAAGTTTAATGCCAGTAGCTCACCAAGTGGAATTTTTGCTCACAAGACTCCACAGCTTAGAGGGAACATTGTCCTGGCCCCACTGCTGGACCTCCTGATGGCACCTGGTATTTCTGGCCACTGTGTGACAGAGTGATGGACTGGATGGGCCATTGGCCTGATGATCCAACACTGGCTCCTCTTATGTTCTTAACTGTAATAGTGGAAGATGCCCTGGGGCCACGTGGAAGGCGGGGACCCTACACAGGAGGGAAGGACGGTGTATACACATAGGGCTGCCAACCTCCAATTGGGTCCTGGGGTTAACCCTAACCCTAATCCACACAATTATAGACCAATAAGCTTAAACAGTGGGAGGGCTCCTAGTGTCCTGGCCCCACTGCTGGACCTCCTGATGGCACCTGGTATTTCTGGCCACTGTGTGACAGAGTGTTGGGCTGGATGGGCCATTGGCCTGATCCAACGCTGGCTTCTCTTATGTCCTCTTATGTTCTTATGAGAGAGTCGACAGAGGTTTTTTTCTTCCTGTCCCCAAATACTAGAACTTGAGGGCCTCCAACGAAGCCGATGGGGAGTAGATTCAGGACCAGCAAAAGGAAAGACTGCTTTACACGAGGAGTGATTAAAATGTGGGATTTGCTGCCAGAGAATGTAGTGATGGCCACAGGCATAGATGGCTTTAAAGGGGTATTAGACAGAGTTCATGGAGGAGAGGTCTCTCATCAGTTAGCCACGGTGGCTAAGTGGAACCTCCGAAGCAGCCAACCTCTGAGTCCCAGTGCCAGGAGCCAAGATCAGGTAAAGGCCTCGGCTTCTCTGCCCTGTTGTTGGCCCTCCAGAGGAACTGGTTGGCCATTATGTGAGGCAGGATGCTGGATTAGGTGGACCATTGCTCTGATCCTGCAGGGCTCTTCTGATGTTCTTATCAGGGGAAGGCCTCGGGAATCGGCTTCTTTGCCCTGTTGTTAGCCCTCCAGAGGAACTGTTTGGCCACTGTGTGAGGCAGGATGCTGAACTAGGTGGATCACTGTCCTGATCCAGCAAGGCTCATCTTATGTTCTTATGTGGTGGCAAGCCCAGGTTTCCCACCTGAAAGCAGATGACAGCGTGAGCCCCAGCCGATGTTGGGTGTCTCAACAGTATACAGGTCTGTGGTTCACAAGGGCATCTGTATCGCCAGTGTTTAATGGTGACTGGCAAGCCAAATAAACAAACCAACTCCACTTGAAGTCGTTCCTGTTAGGGAAATGAGAGGCGATGGAGATGTAAAAAGTAAAGGTAAAGGTTCCCTTGCTCGAAAGCCAGTCGAATCCGACTCTAGGGTTGCGGTGCTCATCTCCGTTTCAAAGCCGAAGAGCCAGCGCTGTCCGAAGACGTTTCCGTGGTCATGTGGCCGGCATGACTAAACACCAAGGCACACGGAACGCTGTTCCCTTCCCACCGAAGTGGTCCCTATTTTTCTACTTGCAATGTCTTGCTTTCAAACTGCTAGGTTGGCAGGAGCTGGAACTAGAGACGGGAGCTCACTCCGTCATGCGGCGCTCTCGGGTCTCGAACTGCTGAACTACCGACCTTCCAGAGCCTGCAGTTCAGCGTCTTAACCACTTGAGCCACCGCAGCTCCATGGAAATGGAGATGTAACCCGTGTCATTTTTTATTAGGAAGGATTACGCAGGCTGCGGTCACACACACGAAATAATCGACTTCCAGTGCCCTTTCCAACTGGATTTTACTGTGTGCCCTGGCAGAATCCAGTTGGAAAGTGCACTGAAAGTGGATTATTTCGTGTGCGTGACCACGACCACAATCTCTCTCTCTCTCTCTGGTCACTCGATTGGTGTGCGTGGCCCACTCACACATGTCACAGCCATCAGGGGACGAAGAGGCACGTGGCAAAGTTGCCGTGTACATACGGGCATCCTTGGCTTCACATACCTAACTTGCTGTTGACAGTTTGCACTTTCACGTGTACATCTAAAAGAGAAAGAAGTAACGCGTTAATGCACCCCAGGGGGTGGGGGTGTCTGTCCTGTCAGGAGATGCAGGAATTGTTGTTGTTCAGTCGCACAGTCGAGTCCGACTCTTCGCGACCCCATGGACAAGCTCTCGCCAGGGCCTCCTGTTTTCCGCCGTCCTCTGAAGTTTGCTTAATATGCAGGAATTAGGTGGCCCCAAAACTGCCAACCTAGCAGTTCGAAAGCAAGACATTGCAAGTAGATACATAGGTACCACTTCGGTGGGAAGGTCACAGCGTTCCGTGCTCCTTGGCGTTTAGTCATGCCGGCCACGTGACCACGGAAACGTCTTCGGACAGCGCTGGCTCTTCGGCTTTGAAGCGGAGATGAGCCCCGCAACCCTAGAGTCGGACTCGACTGGCTTTCGAGCAAGGGAACCTTTACCTTTACCTTCAAAACTGGGTGGGTATTCTGAAAACTAGGTCGGTTTTCATTCCCTTCCTTCCTAACTGGCTGTCTGCTTTTCCCCCTGGCCACAATCTTCCCCATCAGCTTTCTGACTTTCTTTCCTTCCTCCCCTGATCTTTCCTTCCTTCCTTCCTCCTCTCCATCCCTCCTTCTCCAGGTGCGCTCCGTGGCGCACGAGGGCGCCGCGTCGCTGCGGCTCTCCTTTTCCTCGGCCCGGAGCCGCCGCCCTCCAGACGCCAGAGGTCCCTGCTGCAGCCGGGTGGGAGCCGCTCTCGGCAGCCCCGATCGCTCGCTCGCCCGCCCGCCCGCCCGCCTGCTGGGGCGCTTCCTCCTCCATCCTTCGGGAGCGGAGGCCGGGCGGCCAAGATGAGCAGCCCCCGAGGGCGCGGGCCGGAGCAGGAGGAGGACGAGGCGGGCGGCGGCGGGATGGGGGAGCTCGCAGGTGGGATCTGCAGCCGGCCGGGTGGGGAGGGTGGAGGGGCGCCCACCCGAGGGTGCTGCCGTGTCCCCGAAGGGGTGGGGGAGGAAGGGCGAGCGGCAGGCCCGGAGCCAGCCCAGCCTCGCGTCCCCCTCCCCCGGGCATGCACGGAATTTGGTGGGCAGGTCGCCGGGGGATGGGCTCTCGGGGAGGGGAGGAAGAGGTGGGGCCGGAGGTTTGCAGAGGGGGTTTTGCAAGCAGAGGTCACCCGGACTCAGAAACCTTGGACGGAACGAAACACGACCCCCCGTTGTGCCCGATAGAATTTTCTTTGGCATTCTTTCCTCTTGCAAATCGCCTTGCGGTTTCCGCACCTCTGGCATCCTGGGCCGTTTTCAAGCCAGCTTGTTTCCTGTGAGAGATTTCCCTGTGACCATGAGGGCTGGAAACCTTGTTTTTAAAAAAGGGGGGGGCAAACCCAGATACTGATAGTGCAGTTTCTAGATGCGGAGGTTGCAAGCGATGCTCCCTCTAAGCTGTGGAGTCTGGTGAGCCAAATTCCTACTTTCTGAGCTCCTGGCATTAAAGTGGTGAGCCAGCGATTTGGCTGCTGCATCAGTTAGTTTGCCCTGGAGCCCTCCTTCCTGAGCGAAGACAAAAATCTGTGAGCTGGAGGCTAAAAAACTGAGCTAGCTCACACTAACTCAGCTTAGGGGGAACACTGGCTGCGAGCCTGCAACCGCTTTGGACAGGGAATCATTATTTAATTCACCCTGTCGATACCCTGCCTTTCCCCCCACGGGGACTCAGAGCGGCTTACGCTGTTTTCCTCGCCTCTGTTTTATCCTGACAACGGCCCTGTGAGGTGGGTCAGGCTGAAAGCCCGTGACTGGCCCAAGGTCACCCAGCGAGCTTCCCGGGCAGAGTGGGGATTTGAACCTGTGTCTACCAGTGGCTGGACGAATATTGGTCAGAGATGCTCTAGGCTGGTCCTGCATTGGGCAGGGGGTTGGACTAGATGGTCTGTATGACCCCTTCCAACTCTATGATTCTATGACACTCTCTAACCACTACACCGCTCTGGCTGTCGTCATGGGACTGAGCGAGGCGAGGCCTTATGGGTTCTCTCTGGCAGTTAGTTTGACTCCTTTTCCCAAAGGGGGTGCATTTTCCTGGCTCCTGTACCCCTCTGGGCTAACGGCGCCCCCTTTCTCTCTCTCGCTTTCCCCAGGAGACACCGGTGACGAGTCGGCCCCCTTCTCCTGCCTCTCCTGCCACGCCAGCTTCAAGGATCCCCTGGAGCTCTCTGCCCATGTGGAGTCCTGCTGCCCAGAGCAGCCCACCTGCTCTTCCGCCGGCGCCCCGCCCACCGCCGGCCACGAGACCGCCAGCTCTTCCTCCTCGTCCTCGGAAGCCCGTCCCGACAGCCCCCCCAGCATGGAGGTGGAACCTGGGGCCTTGTCGGCCGAGCCGGGCCAGGAGCCGGGCCCTCCCCCTCCTGTCCCCACAGGACACCTCAACATCCCGCTCATTCTGGAGGAGCTGCGGGTCTTGCAGCAGCGGCAGCTCCACCAGATGCAGATGACGGAGCAGATCTGCCGGCAGGTGCTGCTGCTGGGGTCTCTGGGGCAGGTGGGCTCCTCGGCGCCCTCCGCCGAGCCGGCCCCCGGAGCCTCTCTCCCGCCCAAGCCGCCCTTGCCGGTCTTCTCCATCAAGACTGAGCCAGGCAGGACCCCGGCTTCCAGCTCCCCCGAGGTGCCCAAGCCGGCTTTCTTCCACCTGTACCACCCTTTCCCCGGAGGGGCCCGGGTCCCCAAAGCTGAGCAGCTCTTGGCTCCGGCCTTCCCCACGGCGACAGGGCTCTTGGCCGCTCAGTGTCTGGGGGCCGCCCGGGGGCTGGAGCAAGCAACTTCGCCGGGGCTCCTGCGGCCGAAGAATGGCGGTGGTGGCGGCGGGGAAACTGGCTTGGAGGAGAAGCCGGGCGGGCGCCACAAGTGCCGCTTCTGCGGCAAAGTCTTCGGCAGCGACAGCGCCCTCCAGATCCACCTGCGCTCCCACACGGGCGAGCGCCCCTACAAGTGCAACATCTGCGGCAACCGCTTCACCACCCGCGGCAACCTCAAGGTGCACTTCCACCGGCACCGGGAGAAGTACCCGCACGTCCAGATGAACCCCCACCCGGTCCCCGAGCACCTCGACTACGTCCTCACCACCTCGGGCCTGCCCTACGGCATGTCGGTGCCGCCCGAGAAGGCCGAGGCGGGAGAGGAGAGCACCGTCCCGCCTGCCGCCCCCGCCGAGCGGAAGGCCCTCAGCGCCACCGAGAGCCTCACGCTGCTTTCCGGGGCCTCCCCGTCGGCCGCGGCCCAGGCCTTGCCCGGCTTCAACAAGCTGGTTCTGATGAAGGCCGTGGAGGCGAAAGGGAAGGGCGACGAGAACACTCCACCGGAAAGGGAGGCGGAAGGCACTCGGCTGCAGCTGGGGAAGCTGGTGGGGTCGTTGCCCAGCTGGGCCCTGCTGGCGAATCACTTCAAGGCAGGCGCGGCGGTGGGGCCGTTCCCGTACGTCTTGGAGGCCTCGCCTTCGGAGACCTCCAAGCTCCAGCAGCTCGTGGAGAAGATCGACCGCCAGGGGTCCTCCTCCTCGGGCGCCGCCTCCGTCGCCACCGCTCAAGCCTCGGCCGGCTCCTCCTCCTCCCTGGCCGCAGCCTCCGGCCCCAACCAGTGCGTCATCTGCTTGCGGGTCCTGAGCTGCCCCCGGGCTCTGCAGCTCCACTACGGGCAGCACGGAGGGGAGAGACCTTTCAAGTGCAAAGTGTGCGGCCGTGCCTTCTCCACCCGGGGCAACCTGCGGGCCCACTTTGTGGGCCACAAGACCAGCCCGGCGGCCCGGGCACAGAACTCCTGCCCCATCTGCCAGAAGAAGTTCACCAACGCCGTCAGCCTCCAGCAGCACGTCCGCATGCACCTGGGGGGGCAGATCCCCAACGGGGCGCTCCTCCCCGAATCCCCTACCCTGGAAGGCGCCGCTCCGGGAGAAGGAGAGAAGCCTTCGCAGCCGCCCCCGCCGCAAGACGGAGAGCTGTCGGAGGAAGATGAGGAAGAAGCCACCGATGACGACTCTCTGGAGAGCGGGATGGAGAAGGTGGAGGGACCTTCCAGCCCGGAACAGGAAGCTCCGGGTCCTGCCAAGGAAGGGGAGGAAGCGGGACCGGCGGAAGAGGCGGAGGGAGGCGCCAGGGCTGCCTCCCCACTGGGGGAAAGAAGCCCTCGTCGCCCCACGCAGGAGGGGGAAGAGAAAGCCGAAATGGAAGTGGAGGAAGGGGGGACCCTGCCGGATGAGGAAGAGGAGGAGCAGGGGAAGGGGGCGGCAGGAGAAGGTCCGTCAGAGAAGCAGCAGGGCAGCCAAGCCAGAGAGGGGTTGACCCTGGCTTGCGGGATCTGCAAGCAGGCCTTTCCGGACAGAGCCGCCCTGCGCAAACACGCACTGACGGCTCACCACCAGGTAAGAGACAGAGGACCTTTTCTCGTTTCTTGGTGTTTCTCCAGCCCTGGCAGTAAATAGAGGGGCGATCCGTATTGCCACCCCCGTCGGCGTTTGCGCTTTATGAAGAAGCGCTGTCTTTTTATTGATTGGATCTCGTAATGCTCTCTGTCCCCCTCTAGAGGCAGCTCTGGAATATGCAAGGAAGTGCATATTCTTTTTAGTGATGTAATGTTGTCATCCACTCTGTCCCCCTCAAGAGGCGGTTCTGGAATCTGCGATGGCTATGGGTGTGTCCCACTCGGAAAGTAGGACTAGGACACATTAATTTATTATTTTATTTATTTCATTTATACCCCTCCTTTCTCCCCAATGCAATAAACAGATATTCATTTAACTTGCGACCCCTGGTTGTAATACAAGGCTCGTGAGTTAGATGAATATCTGTTTATTGCAACGAAACTGGTCCCTTGTCCTACACCAGTGAGGACCCAAAGGGGCTTAGAGCATTCCATTTTAACCTTCCAACAACCTTGTGAGGTAGGTTAGGCTAAGAGTGTGTGTGACTGACCCAGGGTCACCCAGAGAACGTCCATGACAGAGTAGGAATTTGAACCTGGGCCTCCCAGGTCTGAAAACAAGGGGGGAAGCCAGTGTACAGTACAGCAAAGAACACACCACTAACTGAAAATAAATGCACAAGCAAAATAGCAAGTATATAATAATCATATAAGCATAACAGCAAGTATAATATAAATCAGTTGGCCAAGGTGCAATAATAAAGCATAATAGAAGCACAGTCTACAGTCTTTCCATGTGTCTACTCCAAAACAGAAGCAAATATCAGAGTCCAAATTGAGGTGTAAGTCATCGCATTTTCTGAACCATAAAAAGCCGACGCGTAATCCGGATGCCTGACGTTGCGTTTCGAATAATTCTTATTCAAGCATGGCTGTAATGGGACCCAATCTCAAAAGCTGGCATATACTAAGCCACAATGGTCAGGACCCTTAATCCTCCTTGACTGACCATTCAAGATTGAGTTTTTCGAAACGCGGCATCAGGCATCTTCTATTTTGGAGTAGACACATGGAAAGACTGTAGACTGGAAATCGGATAATTTACCGAGTCGAAATGTATTACTTAGCAATTTTTATGAAGTAATCGAGATGGATAAATTAAATATGTTTCTAGCGGGGAAAACAAGTGAGCAATTTAATCAGAAATGGCAAAAAGCCATTAATTGGTATGAAATTAACTTGTGTGGTTAACCCCCTAAATGTATGTAATGGAAAAATTTGTTTTGTATATATACTTTTGGATAAAATCTGAAAATAATTTTTTTTAAAAAAAACAAACAGCATCATCTTCTAAGACTTTGAATAGCTCAGCTGGCTATTCACTCCACTAGCTTTGTTGTTAGTAATGCTTTCTAAGGCCCATTTCACATTCCAGGATGTCTGGCTCGAGGTCAGTGATTATACCGTCGTGGTTGTCAAGACATCGAGGTCTTTCTTGTATAGTTCTTCTGTGTATTCTTGCCATCTTTTCCTAATCTCTTCTGCTTCTGTTAGGTCCCTACCGTTTTTGTCCTTTATCATGGCCAGCTTTGCATGGAACGCTCCCTTGATTTCTCCAATTTTCTTGAAGAGATCTCTAGTCCTTCCCATTCTATTGTTTTCCTCTATTACTTTGCACTGTTCATTCAGGAAGGCCTCCTTATCTCTCCTTGCTGTTCTCTGGAAATCTGCATTCAGTTGGGTAAATCTTTCCTTTTCGCCTTTGCCTTTCGCTTTCCTTCTTTCCTCTGCTATTTGTAAAGCCTCATCAGAAAGCCACTTTGCTTTCTTACATTTCTTTTTCTTTGGGATGGTGGTGATTGCTGCCTCCTGTACAATGTCACGAACCTCCGTCCATAGTTCTTCAGGCACTCTATCAAATCTAGACCCTTGAATCTATTCTTCACCTCTACTGTATATTCATCAGGGATGCGATCTAGGTCAAACCTGAATGGCCTCGTGGTTTTCCCAATTTTCTTCAGTTTAAGTCTGAATTTTGCAATGAGTAGCTCATGATCTGAACCACAGTCAGCTCCAGGTCTTGTTTTTACTGACTGAATAGAGCTTCTCCATCTTTGACTGCAAATTATATAGTCAATCTGATTGCGGTGTTGCCCATCTGGTGATGTCCATGTGTAGAGTCGCCTCTTAGGTTGTTGGAAAAGGGTGTTCGCTATGACCAGTGTGTTCTCTTGACAAAACTCTGTTAACCTTTGCCCTGCTTCATTTTGCTTTCCAAGGCCAAACTTGTCTGTTATTCCAGTTACCTTTTGACTTCCTACTTTAGCATTCCAGTCCCCTATGATGATGAGGACATCATTTTTTGGTGTTAGTTCTAGGAGGTGTTGTAGGTCTTCATAGAACCGGTCCACTTCAGCCTCTTCTGCATCAGTGGTTGGGGCATACACTTGAATTACTGTGATGTTGAATGGTTTGCCTTGGAATCGGACAGAAATCATTCTGTCATTTTTGAGATTGTATCCCAGTACTGCCTTTTGCGGCCACATGACCACGGAAACGTCTTCGGACAGCACTGGCTCTTCGGCTTTGAAACGGAGATGAGCACCGCAACCCTAGAGTCGGATTCGACTGGCTTTCGAGCAAGGGAACCTTTACCTTTACCTAAGTGACTAAAATGAAGCTATCATACTATGGTCGAATTATGAGAAGACAAGAGCAGTGCTCCCTCTAAGCTGAGTTAGTGTGAGCTAGCTCACCGGTTTTTAGCCTCCAGCTCACACATTTTTGTCTGGGCTCCGGATGGAGGGCTCCAGAGCAAACTAATTTATGCAGTAGCCAAACTGCTCGCTCACAACTTGAATGCCAGCAGCTCAGAAAGTGGAATTTTTGCTCACCAGACTCCACAGCTTCGAGGGAGCATTGGACAAGAGTCACTGGAAAAGACAGTAATATTAGGGAAAGTTAAAGGCAGCAGGAAAAGAGGAAGGCCTGACCTGAGATGGACTGACCAAGGAAGCCATGGCCTTCAGTTTGCAAGCCCTAAGTAAGGCTGTCAAGGAGAAGACATTTTGGAAGTCATTAATTCAGAGGGTCGGTCCTAAATCAAAAGAAGAAGAAGAAGAGATTGGATTTATACCCTACCCTTCACTACCCAAAGGTGTCTCAGAGCGGTTTACAATCTCCTTCCCCTTCCCCTCCCCACAACAGACACCCTGTGAGGCAGGTGGGGCGGAGAGAGCTCTTGACAGAAACGGCTCTTTTTTAAGGACAGCTCTTATCAGAACTACGGCTTGCCCAAGGCCATCCAGCCAGGTACAAGTGGAGGAGTGGGGAAAAACCCGGTTCTCCCAGATTAGAGTCCGCGCACTCAACCACTACACCAAACTGGCTGTCCACTTGATGGCTCATAACTCACACGTGGGTAAGCGTCAAGAGGGAGGACGTGCTAAAGGTGAGACACCGCCACAGAAAAAAAACCTCTGTCTCTGGTGGGAAACCAAGGTGCTCTCTCCCACTCTAGAGGGGATTGCTTGACAGTGCCAAGACTGTGGCTTCTGTACCACCCTAGAATGGTGCTCATGGGCCATAAAAAGGTAAAGGTTTCTCTTGCTCGAAAGCCAGTCAAGTCCGACTCTAGGGTTGCGGTGCTCATCTCCGCTTCAAAGCCGAAGAGCCAGCGCTGTCCGAAGAGGTTTCCGTGGTCATGTGGCCGGCATGACTAAACACCAAGGCGCACGGAACGCTGTTACCTTCCCACTGAAGTGGTACCTATTTATCTACTTGCAATTTCTTGCTTTCGAACTGCTAGGTCGGCAGGAGCCGGGGCCAGAGACGGGAGCTCACTTCGTCATGCGGCACACTCAGGTCTCGAACTGCTGGACCACCGACCTTCCACAGCCTGCAGTTCAGCGTCTTAACCACTTGAGCCACCGCAGTTCCTATGGGCCATACGGAGGTCTTATTCCCATTGACTGTTCAGGCCACACACCAGCTTGTGCCACAGGACATCTTCACTAGTTGCTGGGCGACAAAGAGGCCATAATAATCTCTGTTGCTTTGGTGGGTGCTGTCTGGTCACCAGATTTGTGGTGGTTTTCTTTTCTTTTCTTTTCTTTTTTAATCCCCTGAAGACAGTCCGTTTCCAAGCCGAAGAGCCAGCGCTGTCCGAAGACGTTTCCGTGGTCATGTGGCCGGCATGACTAAACACCAAGTTGCACGGAACGCTGTTACCTTCCTACCGAAGTGGTCCCTATTTATCTACTTGCAATTTCTTGCTTTCGAACGGCTAGTTTGGCAGGAGCTGGAACTAGGCAACTTGGGTCTCGAACTGTTGAACTACTGACCTTCCACAGCCTGCAGTTCAGCGTCTTAAGCAATTTCTTGCTTTCGAACTGCTAGGTTGGCAGGAGCTGGGGCCAGAGACCAGCACTCACTGCATCATGTGGCACTCCGGTCTCGAACGGCTGAACCACCGACCTTCCACAGCCTGCAGTTCAGCGTCTTAACCACTTGAGCCACTGCAGTTCCTATGGGCCATACGGACGTCTTATTCCCATTGACTGTTCAGGCCACACACCAGCTTGTGCCACAGGGCATCTTCACTAGTCGCTGGGCGACAAAGTGGCCATATTAATCTCTGTTGCTTCTGTGGGTGCTGTCTGGTCACCCGATTTGTGGTGGTTTTCTTATGTGCTAATGGTAGCTTCTGTCACTCTAGTGCTGGGATCAAATCAGAAAGAGGTACTCATGTTGGGCCCTCCTTTCTGGAGGACGTTGCTAGGTAACCCAAAAAATGGCGGCCATCACTAACGGCTCACGTTGCCTCAGGTGGCAAAACATTCACAATTGTGTAAAAGTCTGCTCTGGACAATGACACTCATTTAACTGTCATGGCTACTCCTTTGACGAACTCTGGAGGTTATTGTTGAGTAATAAAGTTGAGGATTCCTAGTGGATGGAAGATTCTGAATGGTCCACTGAAACTACGTTACCCAGGGTTCCTGAGGAAAACTGTTACCATGGAAACGTTTACTGTGGATGGGCCCTTGGAAGTTCAGATACGCCAGCTCTGTTGCCCACTGAGTTTTAGTTTTGACTGTACAATTTGCGTGTTTTGGTCTCATCCTTTCTGCAAGGAGCTCCGAGCTCCCTTCTCTGGTTTTATTCTCACGGTCCCATTCTCCTTTTCTGTTTTATTCTCACAACAGCCCTGTGAGGTAGGTTAGGCTGTGTGTGATGATGATGATGATGGGCCCAGGGTCACCCAGCAAGATTTTGAACCTGAATCTCCCACATCTTAGCCTGGCATTAACCGCTACACCACACTGTCTCTGCACTCTGTGAACAAGCCTTTCCCCTAATTGCTGGGAATTGTAGTTCTGCCCTTCCCCTCCCAGAACTACAGTTCCCAGGATTCCTTGAAAAGAGCTCTGCTAGATAAACTGGTTTGACGTTTCGGTGATCAGCAGTGTGTTCATGTCCTGCTTCTCTTTTGCTCCCCGAGGTTAACATGGCCAGCCCTGTGTGGAGCAGCAACCCGGCGCGACACGGACAGCGCCTGCCCTTGGAAGGCCCGGTGCCTGTCCTGTCGGGAGGACAGGTGAAGCTGCAGGACTTCCTGGGGCGCGACATTCCAGCCCAGCTCGTGGGGGTGGGGCCGCTCTCTTTCTGGAACCAGTACACAGCCTTCCTCTCCGGAGGCCTCCCCGCCAAGCCGGCCCACGGCTCTGCTGCTTCTGCCTCATCCTCCGCCTCCTCGCCGGCTTCCAGCATGGCCGTCCAGGGCCTCTTTGGCTCTGGTAACGTGCCGGGGAAGGCGGCCCCCGGGGAGGCCAAGGAGAAACCTGCTGCGGGGTCCCTGCTGCTGCTCCCACCGCCGCCGGCCCCAGCTCCGGAAGGAGTCCCCGAGAGCCAAGGGAAGGGGGAGAAGTAACCCGATCTGAACAAAGCCCCACCAGGTGAGGAAGCTAATAATAGTAATAGTAATAATGGCGACGATGTATATCCCGCCCATTTCCCGGACCTGGGCTCAGGGCGGCGCACAGCATATCTCAAACAATACATAACAAAAGCATAGAATACATATAAACAATAAATACATCCAATACATTTAGATTTCAGCATCATGAGCTGGCATCACATGTCTCTCCTGCCACCCATCGGAAGGTTCTTAACCAGAGGGGTGTGGGGATAAAGGGGGGGGGAGACCCGGCAGGCCACTGATCTCACGATCTGCCGCTGTCTTCAACCATATGCCTGGTGGAACACCTCCGTCTAACTGGCCCTGTGGAACTGCGGATTTGGAGTGGCCGTCCCCCCCCCCCACTGTACAGTCTGCAACCAACCAATGAACCAGAGGTCTCCCCGCCTTTTTGAGCCTCTGGGAACCTTTGGAATTCCAGGGTTGCCACTTTCTGGAAAGTCAGGGAAATGAAAATTGGTCAGGGAAATTTGTCTAAAGTCAGGGAAATTGTGATTAAAATATATTCAAGCCGTCAGGGAAATTGTGATTAAAATATATTCAAGCCGTGCTGCTGCGAGAGCTTGATCTGTTCTTGTGGCAACTGGAACAGAGAAGTAGCAGAATACAAGTGGAACTCAATGATGCCCTTTCCCAACCGTTTTAGATAGAACGTTGATATCATTTTTAGTGTACCTTTAAAACAATATTTAAAGGAAAATTGAGCCAACTTCAGAGGACGGCGGAAGACAGGAAGGCCTGGCGTGATCTGGTCCATGGGGTCGCGAAGAGTCGGACTCGACTGTGCGACTGAACAACAAAACAATAACAAAAAATGTTCTGTCCTTTGTTAGCATTCAGCGTTTACTTGAATTGAAATTTGTATCTTGGTGTGATTTCTGGTGCCATTGCAAAACAGATGTTGCTGCAGTTAATGTTGAGAGAAGCTGATATTAAATCTCTTTGACAAATATTTTTGCAGTTGAGACTGGTGTCGTTGTAGAGTGGAACCTTACCTTGCAGTAATGCAATACGGCCAGTGTTCCCGCTAAGCTGAGTGAGTGTGAGCTAGCTCCCAGTTTTTTAGCCTCCAGCTCACACGTTTTTGTCTTCGCTCAGGAAGGACGGGGCTCCAGAGCAAACTTAATTTATGCAGCAGCCAAATCGCTCACTCGCAACTTTCATGCCAGTAGCTCACGAAGTAGAATTTTTACTCACAAGACCCCACAGCTTAGAGGGAGCATTGACCTATTCGTTTTTTAACTCGTGGTTATATTTGAATGGTGGTCAGGGAAATTGACAAATGTTGGTCAGGGAAAGTCGGGGAAGTGAAAAATAAAATTTTAGTGGCAACCCTGAATTCTGACCCAGATTGGTGGGTGCAATCACAGAATGGAGCCCACCACAAAAAGTCAGGGATTGAGGCTACATGTAACTCTTCTAGCTACTCTTCGCCCCGCCCAGTCCCACCCACTTTCGAAAAGCCACAGGAAAGGTTTCAGCGGGTGCTGTTGGGGACCCCTGAAAGAAATGACCCACACCAGATTGGATGCAAAGCTTTCTTCCTGCTACGGCTGGAACCTTCTCCCTGTCGAGGACCTTTCCCCCCTCCTGCCCTTTTCCAGTGAGCTTATTTATTTATACTCTTTACTAGCAGTAAAGCCCGTTGTGAAAGCAATACAACGGGATCTAGAAAGAGGCTCTGGGGGAGTGCTCTGGCTTTGGGCAAACAGTGTCAATTTGCTGTGGTGACCTCAGCAGGGTATAATGACAGAGTCCACTGTTTTCTCCAGAGGAACTGATCTCTGCTACCTGAAGAGCAGTTGTAATTGTGAGTGATCTGTAGCCCTCACCTGGAGATTGGCAGCAATTGTTACCCAGGACAAAATGGCTGGTTTGGAGGGTGGAGTTGGCAACCCCATCTCCTTCCCAGCTAACCATCAACCTTCCAGTGAGCTTATTTATTTATACTCTTTATTCGGTTTTTATCCCGCTCCTTTCCCCGCCAGGCGGGGCTCGGGGCAGCTTCCAACACTTGAATACCATAAAACACAATAGATCAGCATCACAATGTAAAACCAAACTTTACCGTTAAAGCTTAAGACTCAATCTATCATGTCATATCAGATGGCACCCCAACAAACCTTCAGCGGTGGATAACCAGAGGGCCAGCCAGTGCAGGGTGATTCGCAGCCCAACAACGGGGAGGCCAGGTGCTCTTTCCAGTCACTTCTGTCCTCAGCCGTACACCCAGTGGAACATCTCAGTGGATAACCAGAGGGCCAGTCAGTGCAGGGAGATTTGCAGCCCAACAACGGGGAGGCCAGTTGTTCTTTCCAGTCACTTCTGTTCTCAGCCATACACGCAGTGGAACATCTTGGTCTTACAGGCCCT